ATATGGGGTTTCCGGAAACAGGGGACCCTACTATAATACCCTAAATACTAGGATCCTTAGTATCAGGACCCCAAAATAAGGTAACCCCTCATTTTCGGAAACTCCCATATATGGGTGGTTGTCAAAATTATGGTCCCTTTTTGGGTCCTTATTATAATACGGCACCTATTATTTAGGGTACCCCAAAACGGACCATAATTTCGGAAACTCCCATATAGCGTAGTCGAAAGATCTTTTGACCCGAGCCGTAGGTCCCGGCACCGAAGTCTCCGGAGATCTCGGAGACGTGGGCAAGGCCCTTTTTTGTTTTTTTTTTGGAGGAGTATGTGGGAGCTTCCGAAAATAGGGGGTACCTTATTTTGGGGTCCTTATAATAAGGATCCTACTATTTAGGGTGCTATATTAGGGTCCCCTATTTGTGGAAACACCCGTGTAGGGTTTGGGGGTGTAAGAATACAAAGTTTAGGGGTTTAGGAATACGACGGATGTAGGGTTTGGTGTGTAGGAATTCAGTGGCGCCGGGGTTGGGGTTCAGGGTTTTAGTGTCGCGTTTGTGGTTTCAGTGTCTCGGAGGGTTCAGGATTTTGGGTTTCAGCTTGTGGACTTTGGGTTCGGGGTTTAGGGTTTAGGGCTTTAGGGGTTTAGGGTTTAGGGTTTAGGGTTTAGGGAAAGGTGAGGGGTTGACGTTTGTCAGAGTAGGGTGCAGAGGTTTCCGGGTAGTTTGCCACTTCCGGAAAATTACAAGTGGAAAAACCCTAAACCCTAAGCCCCTAAACCCTAAACCGCATAAGCCCTAAACCCCTAAACCCTAAACCCTAAACCCTAAACATGCAGATGATGTCTCAACGACGAAGCTGCCAGGGCATTTATCTAGAATCTGGGAAGCTTTGGATACAGGACAGGTGCAAGCCGTTTCGGATTCTCGGATGTATCTGAAGCTTGGACCATATGTCTGGCACAGGCTTTCGTTCCCATCCGAAGACTGATGAGGGTGTTGCAGGGCTTTTGTGCCCACTGCGAGCAGCCGCCCACTTGCGGGCTGACCTTGATGCCAGACAGCACCCGAACAGAGAACGACCTGAGGCGCCCATGTTGCGGCAGTGATGTGGATGTCTCTGGGACTCACCAATAGTGTCGTGGTGCAAGTCTGCCGTTCCCATCCACAGACGAATCCATGAGGCAAGGGGAACCAAGGAAGGTCCCCAAGCATCAGCTTCTCCATGGCCAGTGTTGGTGCTCACATATTGTCTCTCACAGGATGGCAGCCTGGGCTTGAATTCGCTCAGTAGCTTTCACCTTACCCATGCTGCACGCATGTAATGGGGTTAGATGCGAATGTGGAGCCCTTTCTGACACATCGGGAAAAGCTGCGAACCCGAACCCTGAAACAGAAGGCGAACCACCCTCGTGTCAGATTTCTGTGCAGGTTTCCTTACGGCGTGGAGCATGTCCTGCGCAAGCACGGCATTGATACAGCCTGTGGCTTCGATGCTGTGCCACTTGCCGTCCATCTCATAGACTCTGAAGCCTAAACCAGCACCGAAATTGTGAGTTGCATGCTTGGGACGAGAGAGGTGCAGAATTGAGTAGAAGGCATATCCGTCGACAGAGCATCTGAATGGTATGAAGACGCTTGAGGCTTTTATTATCATGGGACTCCGAGATAGTGTTGTCGAACGATTTGCAGCATCGCATCGAAGGCCTGTGCTTTCGTAAGTCCATCAACCTGCCCAGAGTTCATTGGAGAACGCATCGTCTGTTGTCGGCCCAGCGTTGTCATGGCGCCATAAATTTTGCTTACGCAGCCGCCTCGTGTCACTTCACCCGAATGGACTCGGGAACCGAAACTACAACAGGAAAGTGGTCCAGTGTCAGCGAATCAGCTGAGATCACATGTATCAAGCTAATACCTGTTGCAGGTGTTACTGGCATCCTTGTGATTCATTCGGTTACAGTAATGCAAGTACCAAGCTGAAGCTTTAGCCCGAAGCTCTAAGACCTCGATTCCTCAACCCTGACTAAACCCAAAGCTGTGCGCCCTGAACCATACTGTAGGGGCTAAGAAAATTACAAGTTTAGGACCCCTAAACCCTAAACCCTAAACTTCAGGGTCAAGCTCCTACACTTGAAACTGCCCGACACTCGAGATGCCGTTTTCCTGACAGAGGTTGGTGGGCAACATTCCAGGTGGCGGAATGTCCCGCTCTGCATCACTTGCCGGGTCCTTGATCCAAGGCGTTGGGTCTTATGTTCATCCTGAGATTTCTGTGGCCCTCATCTGTGCAACAGTAGAGCCCTTTTCCCAAGGTGGGGCATGGCAAAAACAATCCGAAATCCAATGGTCAAGGTTTTCGGCCCAAGGTGTGGGGGGACCTGACAGGGTTCAAGGTCCAGTACTTTCTGAGATGCTGAAAGTTTGGATTTGAATGCATTGACTTCGGTTGCAAGGTTTCCGAATCAGGGTTTGGTGCTAGGCGATCGGAGACCGCACAACTCTGCTTGAAGATCGACGCATCCTGTCTTTTTCTTGGCTAGGCACATATCATATTCGGCAACAGCAGATGCAACACGCCTCCCAATTCGATAGAAACCCTACACCCTGAACTCTAAACCCTAAACTGCCTCCCTAAACCCTAAACCCTAAACCCTAAAATCCCCCAGTCGACTCCTGCAGGTCCCAGACAGCCCAGTTTTAGGACATACTTATCCGGCCCCATGGGCTTGGTGTGGCACGCCGAGTAGCAAGCGTCGATCCCCGAATAAGGATCACATTTAGGGATTGCAGATTTCGGGTTTAGTGTTTAGGGAGGGATGTAGGGTTTAGGGCTCAGGGCTTATAGGGTTAGGATGTAATGCGAATTCGACACAAATCCTGAAAGACAAGGTGCGGATCGTAGCCAGGGATCTGAGTTACCCTCTCTCAATGGCCAGGCTAAGCCCCAAAGCTATCAGCTCTCGAAAGGCAATCCCAAAGTAAAGTAGGGGTTACGGTTACATGTGGATTTTGATTGAGATATATATGAGTACACACACGCACACATACATACATGCATTATATACTGTGGGGCTCCTAAGGGAAGGTAGATTTTGCGGCTCATCCGGTGCTAGCAACAAAGGCCTACTTCACGTCGAAGCGGAATTGAACCCTTGCCAAGGCATGTTGCTCGTGTCTTTGGGTACCCAGGTTCACCCTATACCCTAAACCCTCAGCCCTAAACCCTAAAACCTTAAACCCTAAACCCCAAACCTTAAACCCTAAACCCTAAACCCTAAACGCAGGAGTTTAGGGAACTTCAGGCTCATCCATAGGAGCTGGCTCCCCCCTGAAGTTTTCCTTGCTGAGGTTATTAACCTCATGCTGACAATGCTAGAGGCCGGGACGGTTTTGCTCATCAAGTCTTATGCCCAAGCCTCAACCCTAAACCCTAAACCCTAAACCCTAAACCCTTACCCTAAACCCTAAACCCTAAACCCTAAACCCTAAACCCTAAACCGTGGCGGTAAGTTGCAGGGTTGATATAGGCTTTAGGGTTTAAGACGGGTTCGGGTTTGCGAGTTGGGGCCCCAAGCCTCATGGTTGAGGGTCTATTTTTTTTTTCGGCTTGTGTTGTGCCCTAAACCCTAAATCCTAAACCCTAAACCCGAAACCCTAAACCCTAAACCCTAAACCCTAAACCCTAAACCCGTGGGTTTTTTGGGGCCTCGGGGTCGCAGGGGTTGGGGGGGGGGTAGGGTTTGTCTTGCTTTAGGTTGTCGGGCCTTCGGTTCCGTAGATTTCCAGAGCCCCCACGCCCTGCTGTAGTATACTTTAGGGTCTAGGGTTTAGGGTTTAGGGTTTAGGGTCTAGGGTTTAGGGTTTAGGGTTTAGGGTTTAGGGTTTAAGTATAAACTCTGGAGTGGAGTAGACTTTTAGATCTTACTCCCCACTAGGGTGCCTTATGAAGGGCTTATGAACTCTGTAGATTTGTAGATCTTGCTATCCCTAGGGTGCTGTATGAAGGGCTTGGGAAGTCTCAAGGATTTTACTATCTTACTCTTCAGTAGGGTGCCTTATGAAGGGCAACGTAAGTCTCAAGGCCCTTGTATTGAAAACCTCCAATCCCCCATCCCAAACGCGGCCGGAGACCCGCAAGGTGAACAAGAAGAGCTTGCCAGAAGGAGACTTCCGAGTGGCGCCCTGGTCCTTGAATAAACGCACAGAGAGCGCCTGGAATTGAGAGTCAGCCTTAAGCCCTAAGCCTGAAACCCTAAACCCTCAACCCTATAAACCCTAAACCCTGGAAGCCCTAAACCCTGGAAGCCCTGAACCCTAAACCCTATAAACCCTAAACCCTAAATCCTAAACCCTAAACCCTAAACCCTAAATCTTGGGGGCCTCGGCTTTGCAGTTTGAGGAGTTTGGGCTCACGCGGGTTTTAGGGTTTAGGGTTCAGGGTTTAGGTCTAGGGTTTAGGGTTTAGGGTTTTAGGGTTTGGGGTTTTAGGGTTTCGGGTTTTAGGGTAGAAGGTCAGTTGCAAAGAGGTCACCATGGCGCAGCAGGTGGAAAATGATTACATCGGCGCCTCGACGGACAATCTCTGCGCATGGCGGGGTTTCGGTTGCGATCTTCCTTTATAGCGAGGGCATTCCCCTTCCTGGTTCACTGCTTGGGATTGCAACAGGGCTCTGTTTGTGGGCTCCCGCGGAAGTTTGAGAGGAGGTGGAAGCGGTTCAATGCAGTCCCACTGCGCGTAGAGCTCGAGCCCGAACCCAGGGGCCACTGTAGGCAGAGCATACTGGATATAAACATCTCATACACATTGTTCTATATATAGATTCTAGAAACAACTTTGCGCATACCAAACGAACGTCTGTATGATTGGAAGTGAATGTTTACATTCAGGTACATATGTTCATATATTTATAGTTGTACGCATATGTGTGCATAACAAAGTACGTACGGCTGTATGTACGTGATTGCCTAGCATATGCGTACCTATGTGCACGCCTACCGGCATCCGTACATGGCACATATCCGCCTGCGCATCGAAGTCAACGGAGAGTGCATGCGCAGGCACTTGAGCCCTGGAAAGCCAACGCTTTTAACAGCGTGACTCCGGAGAGCTCCGGTACACGTTGTTGGGCTTCGGAGCTGCCGGCAAGTTAATAAGTAAGAACACACGCAGCTTTGAGCAGCAACTCACAGCCGAACTTTGATGATAATTTTGCATGGGAGGACCATGCCTTTTGAAAACCGACTCCAGACTCCCCGGTCCACATCGCATTATATCCCGGATCTCGAAAGGGTCGGACACTCGAGGGCGGGTCGCTTTCTGGGGCAGCTCGGTGGGGTGGCTGGGTGGTCCGTGGCGTCGGGGCATCGTCTCTCTAATTGTGTGTGTGCCACGCACGTGGAGTTTTGTGGCCAACGGCTCGATTGTAATTAAAGCGGTTTCTCCTGCCGATGTCCAATCCCTGAACCGCCTGAACCTCAACCCAGACCCTAAACCCTAAACCCTAAAACCCTAAACCCTAAACCCTAAACCCTAAACCCTAAACCCTAAACCCTAAACCGTCAGGGTTTAGGGTCTAGGGTCCCTCCGATCAGGAACGCCCTGTGGCAACCTGGACCAGATCATGATCTACTATGCCAAGACGGGCATGGGCACACGCTACGACCCAAAGACGAAGCAGGCCAATAGTGGCATATATATATATATATAAAAGCCTAAATAAAGTCGCGAATATTTTTTAGGGCCTTAGGGTCCCTGATGATATTTATACTAGAAAGCCCAAAACCCTGTTCTAATTATTAAAGCCCCTACATTACTGGTGCCTCTATGGCTGTTGACATAGGCCCGTCATACTCCTTGCATACACTGTAGTCATGGTCGATGTACTCCGACGGCCCCTGCAATCGAAGTTTAGCTCCGCGGCTAGGATGTGGGGTCTAAAGTCTTGTAGGATGTGGGTTTTGAAATCTTAAGTTCTCACAGGTTCTCTGGATATTCACATAATACAAGGGCCAGGAGTGCATGCGGCTAGAAATATACCGACTATACCAACCAGCCCGAATGACAGTATTGTGAATGATTCTGGCTGCTCTTCTGTTATTTTCGGTCCCAGCAGCAGTTTTGTATGGATTACTTTATTGGGGGAGCATATGTTTATAAGTTATAAGGCACTTGGACCCTTTGGGAAACCTTCTAATCTGACCGCCATCCTCGGGAACTCTGAGCAAAGTTGAGGCCTTAATGACACACCCACACTATCTGTGGGCAGTCTTGCAGTTGTGTTTGGTGGTTCATGAGGATTCTATAACATGTTGATGATTCCTGCAAGGGTTTATGGGTTGGGGGTTTGGAGATGCTAACTAACCAGGAACTACTCAGACTCAGTTCTAGCCTCTAAACCCTAAACCCTAAACCCTAAACCCTAAACCCTAAACCCTAAACCCGAAGCCGGCTTAAGCCCCCAAGCCCTGAAAAACCCTCTGAGCCCCAACAGCGAGGTGTCCTACGTGCCGCTCGGCGTGGACACCAACGAGTTCAGAATCGCTGCTCTAGACACTGGTGCCCTGGCAACACCCAGGGGGGTTTAGGGTTTAGGGTCAAGGGTTTCTTACGTTTTCTTGTGTACTGGCAGAGTGGCAGAGTAGAGTTTATCTTAGGTGCCTCGGATTACTTGGGAAATGAAGGAAGTTAGCTCCCGGGGTTTTGTTGGTAGGAGGTTATCGGGGTAAGGGAATCGTGGTGTCCAAAGTCAAGTAGGCCTTACGGCGCTGAGGTACCGTCCGCCATGGTTTGGAGAAGACCACCTACGCTGTGCGGGTGAAGGAGTGCTGGAAGCGGGTTTTATAGTCAAGTCGGGTTCTGTCACTGGTGGGGTCGTGTCGTTAAGGGGGCTTCAGGGTTTTGTGGTTTTCGAGTGCTGGGCTTCAATCCGGAGATTGGGTTTTAGCCTTGCGCCTTACACCCTTAGTGCCAGCTTTGGCCCCAGGAGACGTTCTTGTCGACTTCTCGGGATTTGGAGCGTTCCGGGTTTTGTTCTGCCGGGAACACCAATGACCAAGGCATCAGCAGCATCATTGCCCGGCCGTTTCGAACGGGGGCCCAGCAAGAGCAGCACCAACAGCTGATTTTCACGCTGCGGCTTCTGAAGAGGAAATTCCAGATACGTGTCTCGATGCAAACCGATTACGAATTACCACCTGTTTGCGGTTCTTGTTAGCCTACATGCTCAACTTGTCGCACCTTCCTAAGCCCAGTTGAAAGTTTAAACGGTTTCGCTGAACTAGCCCCTAAACCCCAACCCCTAAACCGCTTGCAGCCCTGGCCTTCAAGCTATAACCCGCCAGCGCCAACCCTAAACCCTAAACCCTAAACCCTAAACTTAAATAAATGACTTAAATGCCAAACCCTAAATCCTGGACCCGAATTCTGAGCCAGGAGTGCCGGGACTTCGTGGCGCTTCTTCAAAAGAAGCTGGGCTTTGGAGTACCATACTTTAATATTTTTTGGGGACCATACTTTAATATTTTTTTGGGACCATACTTTAAGACTTTTTTTGGGGGACCTGTTCCTTAAAGGAACCATTATGAAATAGAAGTCTTTACCTTTTTTTCCCTGCCTACTTCAAAGCCAAGGAAGGGTTACAAGATCCAGAGCCTTGGGGACGTGAAGGATCGGGCCACTTACGACCCTCGGCTCGGTTAATTTAGGGGCTTAAATATTTACCTGTATATATATATATATATTTTTTTTTTTTGGGGGGGNNATGATGGGCCCCAAGACCCTATTCTAATCTGTAAGGCCCCTGCAACATCTAAGGGGAGGATCGGAAACAAGCTTCCCAAGAGAATCTGGTTACATAGAAACTTCATAGCTTCGCGCACTTCTGAGCGGCCAAGGACAAGATTGTCGCCGAGTTTGGATCGTCTCATCCGGATCACTGCCTTCGGCTGGAGTACCTTTTCTTTGCGCAGGATGGGTTCAGGGTTTAGGGGCTTGGGTGTTTAGGGTTTAGGGTTCTTTGCGCAGGATGGGCAGGGTGCATGATGAAGGGCGACGACGACGACGACGACGACGACCATGATTACACCACTTTGCTTCCGTCTGATGCTGCTCGTATTGATACAGAACTCTCTCCTCTTTGCAGACAGGAGCGTTTCGAAGCGATGGTGCAAGCCTGGGCGGCAGGCAACATCGACGAGGTGGCACCTCCAATCTCCGTATTGAGGTCTCGTACCATCAAGGATTAGTCCTACTCTTGCCAGGAGCAAACCCGCCAAAACCCTACACCGTATAAACCCTAAACCCGAAACCCTAATAAGAACTAAATCCTAAACTCCTAAACCCTAAAAGCTAAACCCTAGACCCTAAAATCTAAGCCCTAAAAATCTAGCCCGAAACCCTAAACCCGAAACCCTAAACCCCAAGCCCAAAACCCAAAACCCTAAACCCTACACACAGCCCTTAAGCAGGTCGGCGCGACCTTTCGGCGTGATGGCATTGGCCTTCGCCACACGGCCGCAAGATATGGCCGGTTTAGGGTTAAGGGTTCATGGTTTTGGGTGTCGGGTTTCAGGGTTTAGGGTTCAGGGTTCGGTAGGGCGATCTGAAAATCTCTCCAGTCCGAGGATCGATGGGGCAAGCCTTCAGCAGGTGTCATAGGGTATATATGGGTCTGAGTAATTACCTATATTTTTTGGGGGGTTTGTAAGTTGTAAGTATACCTATAGTATAGTATACTTTAGATCCTTACCTAATTATTAAGGCCCCTACACTGTAGGTTTCGGGTTTAGGGTTTAAGGCTGAGCTTTAGGGTTCTCGGAAAGATCGGCCAGGGGCCTTTTTGCTGCCAAAGCCCGAAGTTTTGCCTCAACTCTGCAGCTCCAAATCCTATGCCCTAATCGTGAACCCTAGAACCCTAGAGGCCTAAACCCTCAACCCTCAACCCTCAACCCTCAACCCTAAACCCTAAACCCTAAACTCTAACCCTGAAGCCTAGACCCTAAACCCTACATGTATAGAACACGAAAAACACCGAGGACCCCTAAACCCCCAACAGCCCCAAATCCCAAACCGAAGGCCCCTAGATCCCTTCAGCAACTTGGACACCAAAGGCGATGAGTATCAGATCTCTGGGCCTGAACTGGAGGCGCGAGGAGTTTATGGCTCCAAGTTTTAGGATTTAGGGGTTTAGGGGTTTGGGGTTTAGGCTTTACGGCTTTGGCCTTATAGGGTTTAGGGGCTTTGGTGTTTAGGGGCCTCAGGGCTTAGGGCTTTGGGGGTTTTAGGCATGTTTAGGGTTTAGGTCCGTTGAGGTTTTTTGCGGATTCCATGAGGGTTTAACTAGCAGTACTATATGAGGTTCTAGAAGAACTCAGGGTTCCTGCTTGGGTTCTCTAGGGTTTAGGGTTTAGGGTTTAGGATTTTGGGCGTTCATGGTTTTGAATCATGATTCGGGATTTTGTTTAGCTTGCCGGTCCTCGGGATGCGGTTTAGGTTTGGGTGCGTTATTGTATATGTGTTTAGGTTCAGACCGGAAAGAGAACCGAAACTGGACGTGCTTTGAGCCTGCAGGTGTACCCTCGATGGCACCAAGAGCTTTCTTTCATCTCAGAGCTCCGACGCTTTTTGGAACTGCAAGCCCCAAACCTCAAGCACCCCTAAACTTTAACTCAGTGGCTGAGTAGGTAGCCTTTAACCTTTTGGGGCTCTTATAATCCTACTATGATTCAAAAGGTTAACCTTTTTTGGGCTAGGGTACTCAGCCCCTAAGTTAAGACCCTAGACCCTAAACCGTTTTCAGAAAACATGGGAGCCACAGACCCCCGAAGCTTTCCCATCCCTGAAGATTTCAACCACACGCCAAAAATCGTCCAGCTCTAAAGGATTTTTTTCTCCTTTTTGCTCAAATCCTGAACCTCGGACCTGCAATAAGGATCTGAAACGAACATGCAATATCATTTAGGGCTTAGGGCTTGGGGCTTAGGGCTTATCTACTTTAATATTGAAAGCCTAAGCTGCAGAACGCACTTCAACTCCCTTAACCCTAAACCCTAAACCCTAAACCCTTCAGAGCACACTTCAACTCCATCACCAGACGATGGTCAACATCGCGCGCACCGTCCCCGGCGTGATTGGCGAGCGCATGCTCGGGGGTGGCGACAAGGCGGCTGTTCTGCTCTTCGGAGTTCAGGTTCAGGATACTTGGAGGAACTGGGGACTAAGTGCAAGTAAGGTCACAAATAATTAGCTACCTTCATGTGGGCTATAAGTGTTCAGTTTATATGTATATGTATATATATATATATATATATATATACACCTATACATATATATATATATATATATATATATATATTTATATGCACGTGCTCATTCATAGCTACATCAGGTTTTATAGACCTATTTACTAACTCCTCTGATCCTTATGCAAGTTAAGGGATGAGGCCCCCAAGGTTTCCACAGTTTCGTTTCAGTTTTTTGGGGGCTTCCGGGGGTGAAGTTGAGGGAGATAGCTAGGGTAGTTTAGGATCGTTTGGGGTTCGGGTTCCGGCTTAGAGTAAGTTAAGGGTATCAGATTCAGGGGCTTGGGGTTTAGGGTTTAGGGTCTGGGGGTTTAGGGGTTTGGGTTGAGGTTGAGGGTCTGGGTCAAAAGCTTGGTAAAGGGTTCCTTTGCTATTGAAAGGCGCCTGCCAGCTATCTCGAACTATTAGCAGCTGCTCACAGCACTTCAGCATCGAAATAGCTGGAAGCCTTCCAAGAATAGTTTTGGAGCAATAGTTAAGTCAAGAAGCTGCTTTCGAAACCCGTAAGGCAGAAGTACTCTATGCGGCTGAAATCCTCACTCCCGACTGTTCATCCCGCTCAGTCCCTGTTGAGTGCTTGGGTCTTTGCAGCACCAGGTTCAGGGTTCGGTTTAGGGTTTGGGAACCTTAAGCCCCTAAAACCTGAAAACAACAAAAACACCAAAACCCGAAAAAAATCCAGACAGACCCCTAAACCCCTAAACCCCTAAATCTCAAATCCCAAAACCCCAAAGCACCAAAAGCCCTAGACCCCTGAACCTTGGTTTGGCTTTTGCCCCAGGGGGCTTCTGGCGCAATCCTCCGACCGCATGCAGAGCGCGCTCTCCGCGATGCCGTGGAGACCGGGCCGCCCCGTCGGCAGAGCCACGGTTTAGGGTCTAGGGTTTAGGGTTTAGGGTTTAGGGAGCTTGATGGTTTTATGCGTGTTTTTTGTATATACGTATACTGTATGTAGGAGATTGTAGGAGTGATGGAGATTGGTAGAGAGAGGGAGGGAGATAGCGGCATGCGCTGCTGCGTGTGCTTTTGGTCTGCTGCGGAGGGAGAGAGAGAGAGAGAGAGAGAGAGAGCGAGCGAGAGAGAGAGAGAGAGAGAAACAAAAAAAGCGCGTTTGAGTGAGACTCTCATTGCATTACGTACGCAGATATACGGTAGCCGTTACAGCCGCTGCTGCTGTCGGTGCTGCTCCTTGCCGGTGCTGGTGGTGGTGGTGGTGCTGTTGCTGCTGCTGCTGCTTCTGGGGGCTGCCCTTATCTGCCGCTGTAGTGGCGGTCCCCTCTTTCAAGATGAGTGTTCGCATTCGTCGCCTTCTTTTTGCTGCTAGTCTGGTCGTTAAGCTTAGGGTTTTTAAGCCCTCAGTGCTCAAGATTCGAAGACGCGGACTGAGGTACAAGCGCTCCTATCCACAGCTCGCTGCCTCTCGACTGGAGATCCCTTAGTTCCCCAATACCCAACCTCAAAAAACTTTTGGGTTCTTATAATTTAGTAGTAATGTGAAAGTTTAGCCTTTTATTTCCCTGGCTTATTGGGGAAGTAAGTTCCTTCTTAGAGCCGGGTTTGGGTCGGGGCCTGACGGTGCAGGGCTTCAGGGTGGTAGTTTTAGGGGGTTTAGGGTTTAGCTGTGGGGGTTTAGGGTTTAGCTTTTGGGGTTTAGCTTTTAGGGTTTAGGGTTTAGTTTTTAGGGTTTAGGATTTAGCTTATGGTTTAGGGTTTAGCTGTTAGGGTTT